GTAAGATACAATGAAACTGCTCAAACTGCTCCAGATCCAGGAAACTGTAGCTTTGGTTGATTTATGAACATTGAATACTGCGAATAAAAACCCTATACATAGTTCACTTATGTATATTCAAAGCTACAGAGGCGGTGGGAGCAGCCTGTTTGAACCTCCTTCATGGCAATTCCATCCCAGCATCCTTGATATGTGTTGAGAAAATCCCCCGCAGATAGGAACGGTCATGAGTGACTGGAGAAGCGCTGGTGCAGGCACTTCATTATTCACCTTTGTAGCACCGCCTTGGCTCCTCACATCCCCTCAGCTCATTTTTCTCTCTTGCTGCCATGTTCTTCTTCATAGTCTCTCCCTTCAAAGCCTCTCCTGTTGACAAGCAATTGGAAGAAATCCTTAGTTTAAAACTCAACCAGGGCGCCTGTGGTCATCGCACGACTTGTGAGGAAGGGTTCAAACGGAGCGAGCGACGATTCAGAAAGGGAAAAAAAGTGGTTAATGGTGTAATTGATTTGATTTCAGGGCTGTTCGCCTGAAAGAACTATCTTGAATGTATAGAATATTTTGCAACCTGTGGACACTGGGCAGGGAATCATAGGCACACAGAGTGAGTCATTTTGTCGATCTAATGAAAATAATAAGGTTTGGAATTCGGCAAGTTCCATGTATTCTGACATTCTTTGGTTTTTGAGAAGGATTGATTTTTTTTTTCGGTGGAAAGATGTTTGTGTTTTCTATGGGTCTTACAATTTTAAACATTTGAAACACACTTTCAACTTCCAGCCTTAGGGACTTATTGATTGTGGAAGCCTGCACAATGTGCACGTTGCATTTAACAATAGCAACAGTTCAAACCGTTTCAAAAGTAGTCATGTGGACAAAACATTTTCGACTCCCATTTTAAAGTCCTTTCTAATCTGTCTTCTTTATGGGACTCTTCATATCTCTATGCTGAGAGACATTCACTCTTTTCCACATGATTGCTTTTTGAAACTTTATACCAGAGAACACTTCTGGAAAGGTGAGGGATAAGGCTGAATTGGGATGGTACCGTATATCAGGGACGTGCGGTGAGGTTTGTGATTGGGGAGGCACTGACTTTAAAAGTCAGATTTACAATCATTATTCAAATAAAATAGCATTTAATCACCAATGCAATGACATCCACAAACTTTATATACTGTAAAGATAAGAGAACCAGCTTCTTTTAATAATCTCACAACAAATCTAGCTGCTGACTCTGCTCCGCATCAAACAACATCTTTAAGAAGCGCAGGTGCGAGAGACGCGAGGAGAGAGAGACGCGAGGAGAGAGGAGCAGAGAGAGTCAGAGAGGAGCAGAGAGACGGAGACGCGAGGAGCAGAGAGAGACGGAGAGGAGCAGAGAGAGACGGAGACGCGAGGAGCAGAGAGAGACGGAGACGCGAGGAGAGAGAGACGCGAGGAGAGAGGAGCAGAGAGAGACAGAGAGGAGCAGAGAGACGGAGACGCGAGGAGCAGAGAGAGACGGAGACGCGAGGAGCAGAGAGAGACGGAGACGCGAGGAGAGAGAGACGCGAGGAGAGAGAGACGCGAGGAACATAAACAATAATTTAAACAAGTTGCAGAACTCTTGAGCAGTGTTTGAATCAGTGTTTTTCGGAAAAGCACTACTTTGCCGGTATCTGTCAATGTTCAACATAAAACACAGATTAACAAACTCCTCCCCCGCAGCCGGACTAACCTCGTAAGTCCAGTGGTGGTCTCCCAGTCTATATTAATTCTTTCTTTGTTTGAAAGTCCAATTGAGAAAAAAAATCTTCATTCAAATCATCCATTTTCCAGCAAAAGAAATAGCATTTTGGGCTGATTGTTTGTTAGCAACTCTGGTATGAACTTTATGCTCACTATCACCCCTAGCGGTGAGGCACAGATACCGCCTGCCTCACGCCAAGCTTTTTCCTTGTGTGTTCATCTACGATCAAAAGACTTAAACTAAATATAAATTGTACACACATACGTGCAATACACTACTAAACACTAAGAGGAGTTTAAAAAATGTTTTTAAAGCAGGATATTTGAAACAAACGGTGATATATCAACTGCACGAGCTGAGTGCACTCAGACACACACACACACACTGTGAGGGAGCGGTCTGAGGTGAGGCACGCAGGAGCGCTGCCTCACCTCGTCTCTTTGAATAGGAATAACGGGATTTCGGCGATTTTGACTTCAGAAATGATCAAAACTGATGGGAACCGTGCCGAATATACATTAAAAGCATAGGACAGTGGATATAAATTATATATTTAAACTAAAATAATTATTAGTTTCCAATAATGGCAGGTGAGGCTCTGCCTCCCCTGCCTCCCCTGACTGCACGTCCCTGCCGTATATTGGTTATCAGTGAACAGCGACTCTTTTATTTCTCTAACTGGATCAGCTTTCTGTGTCCCATCCTTCTGAGGATTTTTTTTCCCTTTTACACATCTAATTACCATGACAACATCCCTCTTTTCTCATCATTTTGAAACCCATGTTCTTTGCATTTACTCCACTAGCTTTTTTGTGTGCATAATATGTGTAATAATACACGGTCACCTCCTGCATTTCTAATACAAGAATGAATGAAAAAGCAGATCATCGATTTGGAATGTCTTAAAAAACAACAACACAACCCACAATGAGATTCCCCTCCCAACAACAGCACATTAGCCATGGCGTTTCAGATTACAGCAGGTTTGACTGTAAGTATGTGGCCCAGCTAACCGGACACCTTCTATCCAATTACCCGCTTCTCGCTAACCACCACGACTTATGTCATCGCCTCAGATCCAGACCAAAGAAACACATGTGGACACCTGATACATAAAGAGGAAAAGTGATTGATTCTGCTTCAATTATGCACAGCTAATTTGTTGGGTTTTTTTCAATGGAGTTTGCCTTATATTATTTATATCACGTCATGTTGTTTTTTGTAAAATATATTACTTTGTCACGGTTGTCTGACAAAAGGTTGCGTTCATGTGACCTCACAACATTCCAAAGAGCTTTCAGACCTCTCGTCTTTCTCTGTTATTCCTACCCTTATAAAACACATATTCTTTTTCAGTAAATGTCAACATATCAACTTCGGTCATTATTAAGTGGTGACATTGTTCAAAAACCGTGTGCACAATGTTAGCCAGTAGAAAGGCGTATCAAGCATAAGGGAATGTAATCTATTGTGAATCTATCAATGAAAAAACTTTTTTTTTTTTTTTTAACACTAGGATTCCCAGAATTAGGACACTATTAGAACTCAAGGAGCCATCATTTTGACCCATTCAAACCAATTATTTCACTTTTACTAAGAGCCAAGACTGGTGCATGTGACTTGAAACACAGCAAAAACAGTTAGCTTAAAGGCTAACAAATACTAACTGCTTGGCAAGTAAACAGTGTTGCTATGGTCACTATGGCCACGTGCCCCCCAACTGATATAATTATAGAACACTCCCTTTTTGTAAAATTCAGGATTTTATAATGTTTAGACTCTAAAAAATGTTTTTGTAAATTGAAAGCCACTCGCAACAGGCCAACACCATCAGACATTCATTATGCATGCTCTGAGTCTGTACATTTATGTTTTATGTACTGTATTTAGAGTGCTCTCATTCCAAGAACACATTTTGACTAATGGTTTCTAGTTAAAATTTTGTGGGTCCCCTGTGACACTCATTGTGGTACTATTTTTGTCTTCTGCATGACACACGGATCATAATTGTTTTTTGGTTTTGTTTTGTTTTTTCATTTACATCCGAATATAGAAAAACTGAGTAATTCTGGCGTTTTCTGCAGAATAGTGTTGCAAACATCATCCCAACAAAGTTTACCTCATTGTACACCTCAACATCAGGAGATCAGGAGGGATAAGCAGCAGAATACTTCAAGCTGATTGGGCGAAGTGACGCTGTGTGCCCGCCCACCAAGGTTTGACTTAAACCAATCCCGGTAACATCTTTGCCGTCCAGAAATGCACAAAGCGCCTCTCGCTGTTCATCTTTCAAAAAAGAAATTGGAGATTCTGCTAAAACTGACTTGATAGCCTCAGCTACGCGTCCGTCCTCCTGCGTAGCCATGTTTGTTTTGCTTCGGCCCGGCACTTCTTGCTTTCGTCAAACCCGGATATCCCGCCCTAAACCCCCAGACTGGCGCGTGATTGGCTTGAACACCTAGATGTTCTACTCGAAAAGGGTTGGCGGGAGCGGGGCAAGATGTATTCTCGAGTGTTTGTGAACTCACAAATACCGCGAGAATTCAGCTTGCAGGCAAGGTTAGCCAAGTTCATGTTCTCTATGAAATTCCCTCCTCTATACGTCATGAAATATTTCTAATTGCAAAACCTTGAATCCAATGAAGCTGTTCGTACATCATGTACAGGTCTAATAGTTTAACATGGAGCTACAAAATATGAATGCAAACATGCCAATAAATATAAATCTTTGTCTTGAGTTTTTCCAGATTTAATTGACGTGTATTTGCACACAGCCAGGAGAAAGAGAAAGTCTTCTTCAACTCACTCAGTATTGTAGTCCGCTAACTTGAATGCACCCGTTGATAATTGAGATTGAGAGACGTTGAGAATGCTATTTTCGGCACAGCTGTCTGCTTAGCCTACATTTTAATTGTGGTTAAACAACAGACAGCATCACAGGTGTGTGACTTAAAATTTGAGAAATGCAAATGATTTCTTTCGCATGAGGCAATCACTGAAATGTATGTATTTTGAACTGCAAATCCTGACGCAATGAGCTTTAGAGATCCCACGGGTATGGAACAATGAGTGACAAAAGCACCTTGATCCCACTATCAGAGCGACCCCTGTCTATATGCTCAGCAGAGGGCTCCTGGGGGTATCTCACCGTCAAAAGCCAAACCTGTGAATCTCTTGTATTGCAGCAACTCAATTACAGGCACTCAAACCCCTGGGAAGTCTGCGAACTGTCCAAACTAAAAATCCTTTTGTCTTTTATCTCTTCCAGACAAACCACCTCACTTCACACCGGCACAGCCCCCTGATGGTAAGTCCTCTGTGGTTTCTTCTGCTTGTTTGGGTTGACCCGCAGTGTTTAAGGTGAAATCATAATCTGGGATGGGTGCCTTTGAAGCCGGGGTAGTGTGCCACGGGGTGCTGCTGGGTGGGATTGCTATGGAAGGCACGTGTACATGTCGGTTCAAGGCTTTGATGTGAGAGAAAGTTGATGACTTGATTTCATCTGTGCAGCACCACCGCGAATGAGACTTTTGATATCAGTGACCAGTGCGGTGAAGGAGAGATTTTCTAAAACTTATTGTGCCATGAACCGTAAGAGTTTTGTTGAAGCGAACCGTAATATCTGTCTTTTTGGTGCATATTAAAGCTGGGGTACCTAAGCTTTCTCATAAATACTCTACATGTTGTTTGTCTCAGAAATAGTCTTGTGATTAAGTATAATGGGACAAACCACAACATGCTGGATTCATCTCATTGGAGAACATTATTGTATTTGTTAGAAAGAGCCTTACTTTTTGACGCTTTGGGGCTGATTAGCATGGCGTCGAGACAGGGCGCCGTGGCAAGGGCTCTGGTGGTATTTATAAATGGCAAATAAACTGGATATTGAGCGTGGAATGGAGTGGTTTTCTGTTGGAAAAAAGCCAAGCTAAAAATGTGACAGAGGCCAAAACTTTAATTCCATGTATATATTATTCTTTTTTTAATATTGCACTTTATTTTTGATCTATTCTTTTTGCAAAGCCATACTATTCCTTACATACTGTAGAAAACCACTGTTTTTAAATGGCCTGAGGTGTTGTGCAGATCATGATTATTGTGTTTAAATTCCATTACTATAAGGCTGAGATTACCGACTTCTCCTGACAGTTTGTCTCTGTGGCTTTTGACACAATATTTAACTAATCCACAACTCTTTCTAATGAGAAGTTTTTCAGTTTTAGTATATTTTGTTGTCTTAGCTCTCATTCTGGCCAATCAGTGAGCTGACAGCTTCTGCCTGTTCACACTGGGCTTTGGCCGGCTCGCCCAAACCGTTCTGACTTTTGGCAGTAGATTTCCAGTTGTTCTTGGTCGGTCAGAAGTTCAAAGCCTTTTCCTTCACCTTGTTCTCCTCACGCTCCCTTTCTGGCCTTGTGATGCGCTATTCTTTTACTCTCTGCGGTTGCATTGTTTTTACTGGTTTCTCTGCCCGCTAGCACGCGCCGTTAATTAAAAAAGCAACAATTTATTTGCAAAGCGGTGCATCGCGGCAAGCTTTAATTGGGGGGAAACATCTGGTTTTCAAGCTGCTAGCATGCATATTTATCAGCCAAGACACAGTTTGATAGACTTTGGTGGGAGTATTTTTCAACCATGCTGACAGACAGACACACAGGCACAGACATGGACTACAGTTCTGAGACTGCGGTTTCCGACTGAGTTAGATGTGAAGAAACAAAGGGATGATTCTAATGATTTATAACTCTGCCTGGTCCACCTAAGCCTTCATCAAAAATGCCAGTGAACACATAGGCTTGGATAATGTTGTAGTCTAAAAAAACAAATGGTACATTTCCAATAGAATTAAATTAGCAAGGGAGTGTGAATCGTTTGGTTGGGAAAAAAACGTCCAAATTGTTACTATTTTGTGCAAAGTTTTTAAAAATAAACCAATGCAGTCATTTGGCATCATCAACATCTTGTTAAATTATTACAGTAGTATTGGAATTTTAGCACTAATTTTCTCTGCTTTGAGATGTTTGCCTTAAATAACTCCCAAATCATTGGAACATCTCTCAAACTCAGTCTCAGCACAAAACACTGTTTACTGCCATTCTAGTTGCTCCATTCTATTTGTAACAATGGAATCCAATTGCTGCAGTTTGCAGTTGTTTTTTGTTTTTAATGACACAAAATTGACTCTTTGAATCACTATGCCTCTCAAATAGCTCTGTTAGCTTTTTCTGCTCAAATATTATCCCCGAATAGGTCTCTCCAGTGGAAAATCAGCAGGCGTATGCTGCCGGTGAAGCGGCCATCGAATTTCCTCCCCAAAAACAGGTCTAACTTCTCTTATCGATCACATTGCTCATTTCCAATGTATTAAAGTTTTGGCCCTAGTCTGTTTCTGCACTAGTCAAGCGTTTAAAAGCCGCTCCTAGGCCTTAATTACATTTCCAATAGTCCTGTAGGTTTTCTGACAGCAGCCCCTTGCTTTTAATGCGCCAAAGAAAACAAAAAAGGCACAGCTCCAATCAGTGACTGTAGCCCGCCTTGAGGAGTGCAGCTCTCTGGAACATTTAGCAGGGTGCAGATTAGTGGGCCAATTAGGACCAACCCAAATATGACACCAGGATACGGCAGAAACGAATGGGCCAGCAATGGGCTGATTTGGAAAATGTTTGTATTACTGTTAGCATCGCGCTCTGAACAACCATTATTTATCAGACAATGGAGATTATAGCCAAAGGCCAATCAGCTCTGCAGTTATTGTGGATCCCATCGATTGGTTAAATATCTTTCCATCTTTTGTATTCTAAAATGCTCCACATGTTTAGTTTTGTCTCTCGGGACCAGCAGCAGGTCAGTCCAAAATGAACAACCTCCATTTAAGCCCAATAACAAAAATGTGTAGATATCCACTTTATTGGTCTATTGATACTGAATCTTGATCTATCTCAAGATGTAATTAAGTCATAAAGGAAAAAGATCCCTTCAACAAACTTAGTGAATGAGCAACTTTGCAGATTTAATGCATAATAAATCTTGCTTTGTTAAAGTTGTATGCACGACTCAATACAGTTTTACCACATGGAAGACTTTAGAACACAATCATTCATCAATAATCTAAATGTAAATGTGTTATGTAGTCTTGGCTGTCAAATAAAGTCACTTTTACAATCCAAATTTGGCTGCCAGAACCTCCCTGTCTGTGCTTCTAAACACTGCTGGAGTTTAGCTGGTTGTCTTAAGTAAGTAAGTAAGTAAGTAAGCTTTATTTATATACCGCCTTTCACAGACCAGAGTCACAAAGCGGTTTACAATTGTTAATTTTGGGCATTTGTCTCTCACTCCACACAGAGATGGGAGCGGGGTCGCCGAACAGGAGGCGCATGCCAGAACTATTGTACATATTTTTAGTGGTAGGGGAAACCGGAGTACCCGGAGGAAACCTACGCAGACACGGGGAGAACATGCAAACTCCACTCAGAAAGGCCCTGGTCCGGCCGGCATTCGAACCCAGGACCTTCTTGCTGTCTTTTCAATATCTGTGGTGTTATTTTTTGTTCATGAGATTTGGGATGCTATTTAATTAGATATTTTTCTTGAAAATGTTAATTATAAATATTATGTACAACCTGTCAATGATGTTTTTGATTATGAATATTTCAGAAAAGGTTTGTGCCCGTTGATCTATAATCTGGGGACACCTATGAAATCATATGTATTTAATACATTTGATATGATGTGCGATTGATTTCCTTTGTAACCTTACCTTACCTAATAAATCTATATTTATGCATGGGTGACATTTGAGCAATAGCAGTAGACAAAGCACAGAACCATAAACTACCGCCTCAATCACCTGTTTTATTCATCCTGCTGTTTCAAAGAACACATCATTCTCTGCTGGAAAATATCTGAAAATACTAAGTTTCTGCTTTGTGAGTCCTGGAGCACGGCCTGTTAAACTAAATGTGTCTTAAGAGTCAAGGCTCTGAATGGTTAATTATAGGAAATCAGAGTGAAGGTTCTGGGGAGTGTGCATTTTTAAACAGTTTGTCTGCACGACGCCGCTGATGAGTTTCCCCTTATTAGCCCAAGAACTCTCCACAGAAAGTAAAAGAATTTGTTCGGCAAATTAGAGCGGTTAGAGGCACAAGGCTGCAAAAAGCGCATTTACACCACCCACAAATAGCTGCAAAATCCTTCACAATGAACGCCATATAATCAGGGGTTGAGTAGTGACAAAAAGTCTCAAAGCCGTGTTTAATTGCTGTGTCTTTGGAAGCTACCACAGCGCTGGTCTGGCTCGAGGCGGAGTCATTATGGCCTGTCGTCGGCTGATAATAAAACAGTTGTTGGGTGGCAGATGAGTGGGCGACCATGCCAAGAGGATTAGCACTGGACTTATGGGGAAAGCCTCCAAGGAACGTATGTATAGAGTCCCTTGAAGCTTGTCTGCCAATGGCCGTGCATGTGCAAACCATCTGGTCATATTGTGGTCATCTTAAGGCAGTGGTTAAGAGTACTTGATTGATCTTAATTGGCTGCAGGATTAATCACAATCCTATCAAATTTGTTGGTCGTAGTTGTAGTCGTAATTAGCAAATCACAAAGACAGGACATATTTAATTTTTTTTGGAGGAAATCATGTACATATGGGATTCAAATTGGGAAAGGTATCTCTCGTCTTGTTGACGGGCAAAAGCCTTATCACCTTTTTTCATTATTTACATATGTTGAAACTGTCAAATTGTGTTGCACATCTTGTGTCTGACTGACTATACAAAACATGATTATTTTTTATGTATACATTTATCAGTCATTAGTACTATGGGTTAGAACTCTATAGACATTGTCTGAAATGTGTGGGATTGTGTATGAGGAAGTCTCAATGCTGGTCTCAAACATGACTATTAGACATGTTGACACAATCATGCAGCCATAGTCCTCACCAATGCTTGTCAAAATAAGTAAAATACATTACATACACAATTAAATGAATTTCAAACCTCCATCCATCCATTTTCTTCCCCTTAATCCATTTCTGAGTCGGGGGGGTGGCAGTCAGAGCTGCACCCGGTCACAGAGCACCAGCCCCTCACTGATCCTCCTGCAGACGGTGAGTCCACAGAAGCTGAGATCTTTCAGTGGGGGCTTCAGGCAAAGTGGGGTTAAGTGTCTTGCCCAAGGACACAACGACAGCAGTCATCAGTGGGAGTCGTGAAGTAGGTCTTGTGAATTGAATTGAAACCTACAGTATATAATGTGGAATGTATCAAATTCAGCCGTATATTCATTTGTCAACTAGAGAAATCAATAACAAGCACATTGAGCTGCTGCTTGGTATGAAATGTGCT